GCCGTGGGTTGCTGCGAGTGCCTGGTGCCGGCAACGGGCTGCGGAGCTGCCAGCGCTCAGGTTCCGCGGCATGGCCAACCTGCTTGGCTCGGGGTAGCCCAGCTGCCTCCTGACCTGGGATCGGGCGTTCCCAGTGGTTTGTGGTCTTTTTTATCTCTCCCAACTTTATTTTTTTTGGTGGCTGAGAGCAGGATGAGAGCAGAGCACATCTGGGAAGTCCAGTGCTCCAGTTGTGGGGCGGTGATGGTGAGAGATGGGTTTCTTCCTGCAGAGGGTGGGGAGCACTGGAACAGGTTTCCCAGAGAAGCTGTGGATGCCCCATGCCTGGAAGTGTCCAAGGCCAGGCTGGATGAGGCTTGGAGCAACCTGGTCTAGTGGAAGGTGTCCCTACCCATGGCAGGGGGTGGGGCTGGGTGGGCTTTAAGGTCCCTTCCAACCCAAACCACACTCTGTGATTTCTTTGAGTAAGAAAGCTGAGCATGGTGCCAAGACTCCCGTTCTGGAAAGCAGCGTGGGGGGCAGGAGGTGACCTGGGGTTTGACACTGAATGTTTTGCAGAGCGACATCTGCTTTCCCATCCTGATTTTGGGCCTAGAAGGCATTTGTTTCGCTCAAACTGAAACCTTCAGCCCTGCTCTGGTCGCCTGGCTGCTTTTGCACGAGGCTCACCCATCGCTCCCATCACCGCTGCGGCCGGCGGGTACCTCTCCTGTCTGTGGGTCTCCTCCCCCAGCAAGAGGGTGGCCAGAGGAGGGAGGGGCATTTTCAGGGCGTCCCTTCTTGCTCGGTGGCCTCTGGCAGCCGACTTGCCCTCTCCCCGTGCATGGGCAGCCGTGTCGGAGCAGGGGGGGCTTTGGTTGCCAAAACACCCAAGGTGGGAGGTAAACAAAGCCACGCCGGGCAAGATTCCTGGGTTTACCGTTGTACATTGGAACTGGAAGGGAAAAGCCTGAGGGTACCTGATGGCTTGCCTTGAGAATTTACCCATGGGTCAGTCCCAGACCCTGGCGTGTGTCCCTATCCTGATAAACTGTGTTTTTCAGCACGGACGAAGGCCCAGAGGAGCTGCCCTTCCCAGGGAGTCTCCTGAGCTCCCTCTCTCTCTCTGCCCTTTCAGGAACAGAAGTTTTGCCAGCGCTACGACCAGTTGATGGAAGCCTGGGAAAAAAAAGTGGAACGCATCGAAAATAACCCCCGGCGCCGTGCCAAAGAGAGCAAAGTGCGGGAATACTATGAGAAGCAATTCCCAGAGATCCGGAAGCAGCGGGAACTGCAAGAGCGCATGCAGAGGTTAGAGGAGAAGCGGTAGGAAGGGGCTGAGCTGGTATCAGACAGCCTTTCTCTTTATTTGGGGATGGGTGTGGGATTCGGTTGCGGGAGGAGCGGGCTGTCGGTGCTGTTGGTCCCTTTTCTCCCTGTCTGATTGAAGCAGCTTTGCTGCTTTTTCCCCAGGGGGGCTCAGCACAGAGCCAAGAGAGAAGGAAAAACGTGAGGAATGTGGTTGCGCATTTCCCCTCTGCTGCCGATCTCCTGGCTGGCCGTGTCCTTGTGCTGGCTGCCTGGCCAGGATGGCACTAATTACTGCCCAAATTAATTTGGTGGTGATTAATCACCAAATTCATCTGGTGATTTCATCTGGCTGAAAACTCCCCATCCTTCCCATTTCAGCCCCGGGATCTTGTTGGGGGACACCTGACGTGTGCAGAACGCAAACCGTTCAGCAGCATCCCATCCCTGTGCCTCGCTAACAGCCGGATGGGTCCAAACTCCCTGATCCATGGCTTTGTTTTATCTTAGAGAGGGGGAGAAATGGTACCAAGAAATATTTTGATGTTTTACCTCCTTAATGTTTTAATTCCTTGGGGCTTGTGGATGATTCTGGGGTGGTGGGGCAAGATGCCAGTGGCCAGTTTTGATTTAAAAGTTGCCGCAGCATTTGCAAACCAGACGCGGTGGCCCGGCGCTGATGGCTTGGTGCTGACACCCTTATGCCATCTCTGCAGTGTAAGTGAAGGAGCAAATAATGGGGAGGGAGCACGGTAGGGTGTGAAATGCCCTTCTGTTGCAGTGATCCAGGAGGTGGGCACAGGTAAGGAAGGTAGTTTGAGGGTCTTGACCTGTGACCCCTAAACCTAGGGGAGACGGTGCTCTCCGGGTGGGAGGAAGCACTGCCAGAGCAGTTCCTGCGGCGTGGGATGGGGTGACCTGGGTGGGCTGTTGGGATACGGTTATTATAGAGGTCGACAAGGGGGAAGGAGATGTCCTGAGTGGGATTTGGTGCTTATGTAACGGAGCATCAGTGCCTGAGTGTTTGGCGGCCCTTTCCCAGCAGGGTAGGACAGAGGGGCAGTGGCGGGCTCTCCATGTCAGCCGCACGCAGCGAGCATGAGGTGTCGGAAATCATCGACGGGCTCTCAGAGCAAGAGGTGAGCCTGGGTTGTCCTTCCTCCTCTTCTTCACCCCTCCCACTCTTCTCCCAGGAAGCTGAGAGTACCACTGGGTCCCACGGTGAGCTACCGAATCCCACCAACTTCAGGCCATGCCGAGGGTTCTGCAGGGGCAAAACACCCCCGGAGCCAGTGGATAGGGTTTAGGATAGGGACTGCCTCTTAGGGATGTTGAAACCCCAGTGTGCTGCTCGTCCCGGGTAGCACCCCACAGACACCTCCTGGCTGTTGGTTTAAATGGGAAGCAGCAGTGGGAAGGGAGGGGAGCCAGTGCCCTGGCTGCCGGGTGGAGGGGTTTTTATGTTCCGATTTGTTTTGAATGGGCCCTGCGGCTTGACACAGGGGAATCCTATGGAATGAATGGTTTGTTCGTGAGCCAGTTGGCCCACATCTTCTGGGAGTGCTCCATTCATCTTGAAACATCCCCGTGACCTTGGCGGTGTTTGGATCTGGTTTCACAAGGGTTCCCGCTCTCTTGGCACGGAGGCGAGCTGCGGTGAACGGATGGCGTTTGGGAGGGGAGAGCAGCCGTCGCCCAGCCGTAGCTGAGGTGTTTGGTCCCTGTGTGCCCTGGTTCCATCCCTGCCCTGGGTCCCGGGCGGTTGGCTCTTAGCCAGCGACAACCCGGAGGACATGGATCTTGAAAGCAGAAGGAAGTTGTACAGCTCTGCAGAGGTCGTAGCCAAGGGGAGTGTTAGAGGATTGCCTCCAACCTCCTGCACTGTGTGCTGCTACCCCACCCCGACGGCCTCCTGCTGAGCCCTGGCACTGCTTGGCGTGCCTCATTGGAGACCGTAAGAGCTTCCAGCCCTTCCGCGGGGTTGGAAGGAGCAGGGAGGTGAGAGCTCTCTACCCCGGCACATTGCTGGAGAGGAAGGGGGGCTGGCTGGCTGCCAGCGGGGTGTATCCGCAGTGCTCGGTGCCCCGAGACCCTGCCAGGTGAAGGGAGAGGCTCTTGGGTGCAGGCAGCTGCCCGTGGCTCTGCGCAGGGGACTTGGCCCCTTTCAGCTGGAGCCGTCTGTGGGCATCGGGGTCGATGATCTGGCCACAAGCTGTCCTTCACCTCCCACGATGAGATGAGACAAGACCCTCCAGGGCATCCGAAGCGGTCGGTTGCTAGAGGGGAGGCACGCTAGTGAGGATGAGAATGAGATGAATGAGCTGGGACATCCCTGTGCATGTGGAGGCCCATGTTTGAGGGGGAGGCTGGATCTCCTGAGTCACAGTGGGGAATCAGCACGATGCTGGGAAGGCCTGGATCAGCAGCTGGACCTGGCCTTCCCAAGTCAGGGGTTGGGATTTATGCCCGACCAGTGCCAGCCCAGCTGACAGGGAGGACTGGAAGAGATAGTGCTGCTGGCAAGCGGAAGAGGGTGGTCAGAGCATCAGGGCAGACCGGTGCTGGGGACCACCAGCCGCTCAGCCAAAGGGACAGTCCCAGTGACACACGAGACAAAAAATCCCAGACTGGTTTGGGTGGGAAGGGACCTTAAACTCCACCCAGTGCCACCCCCTGCCATGGGCAGGGGCACCTTGCACTAGACCAGGTTGCTCCAAGCCTCATCCAGCCTGGCCTTGGACACTTCCAGGGATGGGGCATCCACAGCTTCTCGGGGCAACCTGTCCCAGTGCCTCACGGTCGCGTTGCCCACTCTGTTGCAAATACTTAAGGAAACCAGTGTGCCCCGTCTGCCCTCTTCGGCGTGATGCCGGGGCTCTGGGTGAAGTTTGTGCTTGAGTAGGATGGAGTAAAGGCATCGGGTTATGGCCCAGGGTGTAAGGGGAAAGAAGAGAATGCTGGCCCTATTGTGGTGACATTCCCAACATCCTGGAACAGCATTCGGCCTCCGGTTGAAGGGACATGACATCCCCCTCTGCCCACCCTTGCAGAACACCTTCCCTCCCAGATTGGGGTGTGGGATGGGGGGAAGGGGTTTGCATTCCCCATGCCATTGCTGCTTTGACTTATCTCCTGTCGTGGCCAGGAGCTGTTTTGCTTAAGTCAGACATTTCCACGTGGTATCTTAAAGCCTTTTATTTCCAAATGAAAGATTAATTGTTTCCCGGCTGCCAGCTATAGCCTCTTTCAGCGTTTAATTTCCAATTACGCTAGCAATAAAGCTGTCTAGCGCTTGCTTTTGACTTCTCCTGTTCCCCCGCCCGTCCTTCTCCAACATCTGTCCCCTGCTGTCCCCGTGGTGCTGACCAACTGTTCTCTCCGCTTTCCCCGAAGAACCTGGAGAAGCAGATGCGGCAGCTCGCCGTCATCCCGCCCATGCTGTACGATGCCGACCAGCAGCGCATTAAATTCATCAACATGAACGGCCTCATGGACGACCCCATGAAGGTCTACAAGGACCGGCAGGTGATGAACATGTGGAGCGAGCAGGAGAAGGAGACCTTCCGGGAAAAGTGAGTGCATCCCATGCTCCTCTCCTTGCGCAGCCCTTGGGAGGGGTGAGATGGGACCTGCGCGATGCTTTGGCTGGGGCCCGGCATGCAAAGCCATGAATTTCCTGGGGAAGCAGCCCTGGTTGCCAGGTCACCCTCGGCCTGGGCCCGGTGCGATGCACCTGCACAGATACCTTGGGCCTTTTCCTGAGGTGCAGAGGTGCAGGGAGCTGCTGCTCGTGATGGGGCAAAAGCCAGAGATTGTCCTGCTTCTGCATCCCTGTTGTATCAGCCAGGTTAGGGATAAAGGCAGGGAAGTTCGGTGCTCCATGCACCGTTACTTTATTTGGATTTACAAGCCTGTCCTTTGGGCACTGTGTCCACAGGGATTCTTGGGGCTGTCAACATCTACCCCCCACCCAGAACCCCTCAGGCTGCAGCATCCAGTTGGTGCCTGTCCCTCAGCACTCCATCCTGCTCTCTGTGGGATTTGCCACTGGCTGCTGTTTCCATGGACGCATTCCCGCTCAGACACATGGTGGATTGCAAGCAGTGCTTGAGAACAGCCTCACTTTAACCCCTGAGATCACCTGGGGGAGGGGGTTGCTGATCCGTTCCCTGGGTGCCGCCACGCTGTCAGTTGAGCTGTGGGTCCCAGCTTACAGCCAGACTCCCCTGTATCTCAGCCCAGCAGGGATGGCGGGGGTGTGTTTGCATGGAGGACCAGAGCATCCTCTGTGCCCCCCATGTGCCTTGTGTGCCCCTAGACACAGAGATGGAGTGCAGTTCCCAGCAGGATGAGCTCTATCCAAGCTTGCTACTGTGGACAGGAGGGATGTGGGGGTACATGGGTGTGCCAGGGCCACCTCATTTCCTTGCAGCCTTAGTCTTGCCTCTGGACAGTTGTGAGATGGCTCTGTGGATTACCAACAGGCCGACAGCCAGCCACGCTGGAAGCTTCTCCATGTCCGGGATCTCTCCTGTCCCTGCTCCTGACAATTCCTGCTTGTGGCTGAAATAACCACTTCCCAAGAGAGACCAAAAAAAAAGAACAAAACAAGCAAACCAGCTCCAAGCCTTGTGCAGAGGATAACCCTCATCCCTAATTAGCCTTAAAATGCGACACTCCAACCAACGAGGCTTGCCCACAAATGACGCAAAGGCTAATTACTCGGTCGCTAATGGCGGGGCTGCGCCTGGCTAATGGGGATGGAAGAATCCACACCCAGCCCGTGCATCCTGCTGTGCCCGGTGGTTTCCGTGTCATCACCGTGGGTGATGCGGAGCTGGAGGCATAAATACAGCAGGATTTCAGGTCTCTGTGCCGAGAGCCCGTCACCAGACTGCTCTGCGGGGCTGTGGATCACCCGTGAAGGAGCAGAGGGAGCTGTGGCACCCCTTGGTCCCGCTGAGGCATCGAGGCCCTGGCATGGGGACAAGGCCAGACCCGTGAACAACAGTGGATTGTGGTTTGCGTTGCCACGATGCTGCGTCAGCATCGATAGCGTGGCCTTGGCAGACCTGTCCCTTGAGGAGCCCCTGGTCTGGGCTGCCCCCCATCCAGCCGTGTGCCATGATCCCACTCTGGCTGAGCAGCCTGGCTGCTTTTCTTTCTCTCTTTTATTTCCCCTAGTTTTTCTGGTTTCTTTTTCCTTGTAATTATTTATTCACGTGTCTTGGGGGATCCTCCTTGGTGCCTGTGTTACGCCTGGGGGGTAGGATGTACCCTTCAAGACCCTCGATGTTAGAAAGGCTGCAGCTGCCTGTGGGATAGAGACTGGGAACCCCGTTAAGCATCCCACTCCACTGCTGTCCGTGCTCCCGCATCCCCCCATGTCCCGTTGTCTCCCACACAAGCCTTGTGCTGGCAGCAGTGGAGATGAGGTCTCCTTGCTCTGGTGACCGGGTTACGGTTCTTGCAGTGCCACCCAAACCAGCTGGGGGTCCTGCAGTGAGAAGGGTGTGGGTGACAGCACCCATGTCCTGCTGCTGTGGCTGGGGTCAGGCATGCCCTCGCTGAGCTCAGCTCGGGGCCCTGACCCACACTTTGGCAGCGGGGCTGAGCAGCCAAGGCATGGGGAGACAGCTCAGCCAGCAGCTCTGGCGGAATCGCCGGCGGGGCTGGAGGCACCGAGCTGCTCGCCACATCCCGCCTGCCTTACGCCCACCCCCCAGCTCACCCGTCCCATCCATTTTCCCGAGGCACAGAGCCGTCAGCTCCCGGGATCTGGCAGAGCTGCATGTGCCAAGCGGGGCTGACTGGCTCCCTGGGCG